ATGGGGCACCAACCCATCCCAGGGCATACTTATACACACCATTCACAATCTGGCAACCCCAATTAGCCTCAGCATGATTTTGGAATCTGAGGGGAAACCAGGGTATCTGGAAAAAACCCAATGAGGACATGGGGAGAACATGTAAAGTAGACACACATGGAAGCCTGGCAGAGACTTCAACCCACATTCCAGAGGTGTGAGGCATCACTGCTAACACTGCACCACTGCGCCACCCTCAATTTGTTAATCATATAAATCCATATTTAATTAATTAAAAATAGAAGACAACATATGCAATGTTGAGACTGAGGATTTGTTTTATTATTTTATGACAAATATATGCCTTATTTCAGTTTATTTTTATTATCTTGAATTTGAAGCCAACAAGCAGCAGAAGATAAATAACAACAAAACTAATAGCTCTGTCCTTAAAAAGCCAATGTTTGTGTGAAGCAAAAGAAGGATTGCTTTGCTTTTTACAGTATGTTAAAAATGTTTCAAATGCCTATGTTGCAGGTGTCTTTTTCATTTTATATTCCATATTCATAAGTGTGAAATTTTATGTTTAAAATTACCTCCATATGTTAAGTGGATATTTTGTCACTGACGTGAAAAAGGAAGCATTCTAATTAGTGATGCTGTTTTTCATTCCAAAGATTTTAGGCCTCCATAGATCCAAAAATTAACTACACAAGTAATAGTACAACTCAGTTCATATTAACGACAAAGACTGCCTACCTAAAGTGTGTAGGAGGTGAAATACCAAGAAAAGAATGCAGTAGTATTCAAAAGGTATGTAAACAAGTATGGTTTTGAATATGAGGATTGATGTCATTGTCTGAAAGCTATTTTGTGTGTAGGGTGAGGTCAAAGTACTGGCTTTATGTATTCAGATAATTCATGAAATCCCCGTCCACTGTAAAAAAACACCTACAATACTAACAAAAGCATCTGAACTGGACCTAGGAGAAATAGAAAAAGGTCACCTGGTCCAATGAATCCCGTTTTCTGTTGCATCACGTGGGTACCTACAGTAGGTACACGTCAAACATCTGTGGGGTGAGTTGGACTGACAAGCCCAATCCTCAGCTACACAGCCCCGAATGCAGCCAAGCTAGATGCACGGTGTGTTGTGACACATCACTCCTATGATCATTATTCTGTGATTTGAGCCACAGTAGTCCTTTTGTTGGTATGTACCAGACATGATAGCCTTTGATCACATCTTATACGGACAAGTCTTGACTTCCTAACACTCTGTTGGCAGTTTGTGGTTTTTCCCTCCTCCCACTCTTAGTAGGTACTAACCATACCCAACCATGAAGACTCGCAAGTCTTGTCGTTTCAGAGATGCTCTGGCTGAGTTGTCTGGCTATAATGATTCGACTCTCATCTAGTCACTCAGATCTTTCCTCTTGCCCATTTGTTTTGCAGTTAACATGTTGACTACAAGTATGAAATGCTGGCTTACTGTGTAATATATCCCAGACCTTGACATGTGTTGAATGTAAAATTACCCATTCCTTCTGAATAAGTATTCTGAATAAGGTACACAATTTGAGTATTCTACCAGAATACAATATTAAATTTATAATTTATTTATTTATTCTATCCACCCTGTTTGTGTGTGGAAATTATGAGCAGTGGAACACAATACTATATTCAAATACACATATACAGATGAATATTGATAACTTATCTGTAAAGCTTTGAATTAAACTTATATTGAATTCATTTGACAGCACAATAACATTGTAAACTGTTGCTCAGTCCCACGCTAGTTCTTCTTACTGTGAGTAAATTTTATTGAATAAATTGCCAGCACCAGGGATAAGAACAAGAGGCCTCTCAATGATCTAAATACACCTGAGCACAGAAAAGTACAATTAAGACTCAGAATACTTTTATTTTACTTTTATACCCTGGACAAAATTGTTTAATTGCTTAAATATTCCAAAAGTAATTAGATATGGAATACTAAAAAGATCATTAAGCTATACACTAGTGGACTCAATTGAGGAAACACCTAGTTCTTTTTGACATTACACTTTAAAAATTACTACACAAATATTTGCATATAAACAAAGAATGTTACAAAAATCATAAAATGGATGATTAAATAAGTAACTGGAAAGTTCTGCAGTCTCTAAAAACTGGCCACTACTGTATGTATCACTTGTAAGAATATTACAACTGAGAAAGCAGTGACAGCCATTACCTAGGGAAACTGGGACTAAGGGACTTGCTCAAGGGACCAATGGTGAAATCATTCTACTGAGCACAGGATTTGAATTTCTGATTACAGGCACAGCACTCAAACCTGCAGAGCTGTACACTGGCTCCCCAAGAGATCAGAATGGAAAAACTGGGGATTGAAACCAGGACCACATACACACAAAGCATGTTCTCTCCCCACACACCATTAGGAATTAACAATGGAAAACAAATCAAAGAATGACTGTTACATGAATGACTCCTTTCGCAACTAAAACAAAGAATACAAACAATAGCAGGCACATTATTTTCACAAGAGTTTCACGGTTCATTGACTGGGCTCAGCTATTTTCATGCTGACGTTCACCATGAAAAGACAACTATGCCACACCTATTATTTCAAAAATGCTTTATTATGTGTCTATCAAGTACCATTCTTGCACAAACAGGAAAATGCTTTTCGCCAGACAGTCAGTAGCCTTGTGCATTGTAAATTTTTAATGGAAACTACAGAACAGTATCCCTAATACATTTAATAAATACTGTACATTAAATTTAATAAATTGCTTATTTTGGTTATGCATACAGTAACTATGTGCTTCAGTATTCTGTGGGGTGACCCTTTCCAGTGGCTCTAACACTGTCTCACAGTTTACTATTAAGGCTCAATAGCTTATAATATAGCAGTGCTGTTTCGCACCCTCAGGGTTGGGGGTTTCAGATCCCACCTCTGCTCTGTATGTGTGAACTTTACATATTCCCCTTGTGTCACATGGGTCTCCTCTAGGTCAGTGTCTCCCAACGCGGTGCTCAGGGACCCTCAGACAGGTAACTTTTTTTGAGGAAGCATGACCCAAGTTGGGATGCTTTACCTCAGATTACATCTATGAAGGTCTGTAAACTCTTAGTCTGATTCATGGCATCCTGCCATTCCTCTTTGACTTCTTTTCACTTATTCCTACAATTATTGAATGTAACCTAATGATTTTGCAGCCTGTGTGGCATATTAATTACACTGTAAAATTATCTCTATGTTAGACAGAAAGGTGGGTTTATTTATAGGTGAACTCAGATGAAATCTAAAATAAAATCAGAAAACCCCATAGTTGTCACTGAAACTGCATTAATATATCATCATGTGTGTGTGAGTATATATATATATACTCACACACACACTTATAGTTATATATAAAGTTATATAATATATTATATAATTGTAACAGACGCACACCAATAAATTGACAAATGAGTGAAACAGAAAATTGTACTTTTTTCCATGATTGATTGATTGACTGATTAATTAATTAATAATTTCCTCCCATTTTCCCCATAACCCTCAATGGTTCCTTGGGGTGCGTTCTGCACCCCCTGCCCATTTCTATGGCAACTACCATGTTGTTATTAAAATTACAGCAGTTATCCTCTAGGACATTGTAAGTGCACCAGTTTTACATACGGTCATGCCGAAAATGATAGAAAAAGTGTTGACGTCAATTATCGCTGGCATACTTTCTTCGGGGGTGCAAAATGCACCCCAA